AGGACTTGCAGTTGATGATCAAATATCAGTCCAAGATAAGAGGAAATGTCCACTACTCTCTGATCTCTTCTTCCATAGCTTTTTTGAGAAAAAGCAAGCAGGAAAGAAAAGATACAGAAATGGAAGTAAAATGCTAAGAATATGGAAGACATTTTGCAGAAGGGCAAAGAAGTCAGTATTTACTATGGATAAGGACATGGAAGCTACGATACTTGGGAAAATAAATAGTGATATCTTGAAAAGTGTCCACACTTGGGAAAGGAGGTGCTGGATTTCTTAAAATGCATAGTGGTGGATAAATCGCTGGGACTCGATCAGTTGTATCCCAGAACTTTGTGGGAAGCTAGTTAAGAGATTGCTGGGCCCCTTGCTGAGATAGTTGTATCATTAATAGCCACAAGTAAGGTACCAGAAGAATGGAGGGTGGCTGATGTGTCATTATTTAAGAAAGGTGATAAGGAAAAGCCAGGGACCTATAGACCAGTGAGCCTGACATCAGTGATGGGCAAGTTGTTGGAGGGAATCCTGAGGGACAGGAGTTACATGCATTTGGAAAGGCAAGGACCGATTCGGGATAGTCAACATGGCTTTGTGCGTGGGAAATTGTGTCTCACAAATTTGAGCTTTTTGAAGAAGTGATAAAGAAGATTGATGAAGGCAGAGCGATAGACGTTGTCCATATGGACTTCAGCAAGGCATTCGACAAGGTTCCACACGGTTATCTGGTTAGTAAGGTAAGACCACATGGAATCCAGGGGGAGCTAGCCAACTGGACACAAAATTGGCTCGAAGGTAGGAGATGGAGGGTGATGGTGGAGGGTTACTTAATCGGACTGGAGCCCTGTGACCAATGGTGTGCTGCAAGGATTGGTGCTTATCCACTGCTTTTCATCATTTATATAAATGATTTGAATGTGAACATACAAAGTATGGTTAGTAAGTTTGCAGATGAGACCAAAATTGCTGGCGTAGTGAACAGTGAAGAAGATTATCTCAGAGTACACTGGGACCTTGATCAGATGGGCCAAGGAGTGGCAGATGGATTTAGATAAATGTGAGGTGTTGCATTTTGGTAAGGCAAATAAGGGCAAGACTTATACAGTTAATTGTAGGGCTCTGATTTGAACAGCCAAGATCTTTTTCCGAGGGTGGAGGAATCCAAAGCTAGAAGGTATAAGTTTAAGGTGAGAGGGGAATAATTTAAAAGGGACCTGAGGGGCAACTCTTTCATGCAGAGGATGGTGCGTGTATGGAGTGAGCTGTCAGAGAAAGTGTAGAAGTGGGTACAATTACAACATTTAAAAGGCATTTGGATGGGTACATGGATAGGAAAGGTATAGAGGGATATGGACCAAGCACAGGCAAATGTAGTTAGTTCAGATTAGGAAATGGGGTTGGCATGGATGATTTGGACCGAAGGGCTCGTTTCCATGCTGGATGACTCTGACTTGTGCCAGTCATATTGGCCAGATTCCAAGTTATTGCAGTCAAAATAAGACTTAAAGGCAGAGCTGTAATTACTAAAGAGATATGAGGGACAAATAGAAGGGATTGCATTTCCTCTCTTGCCCTTGGGCCTTCTATAGGACTGAGTCATTGCTGCTATATCCTGCTTTTTAAAGTTTGCTCCAATATACTAATTTTTTTTCCCCAACTTTCGGATTAATAACTCATTCCATTAAGACATTAGTAGTTGAGAGTTTAAAGAGGATATGAGATTATCACCTGCTCATATAATTTCTGTAGGTAAAGTGTCAATGTGTAAGCTTACCTTTCAGTTCTCAATACCAGAAACATTGAAATTAAAAGCACTAAGTTCAGACCGTTGGTATTGCCTCCAGGTGTGGAGTTTTGTGAGGGGTATGAGCAGTTTCACAGGTTGTGGGTGCTTTTGGCAACGCCAGAGTCTGTCCCCCAAATTGAATTGCCCCTTAAACTGAGTAGCTCTCATGGCCATTTCAGAGGGCAGTTAAGAGTGAACCACATTGCTGTGAGTCTGGAGTCACAATTAGGCCAGTCAGCTAAGGACACCATATTTATTTCCCGAACAGGCACTGCAGCAGAATTTTTTTTATTTTTGTCTGGTTTTAGTGTCAACCTCACTAAGTGGGGTAGCACATTGAGATCTGAATCAGAATGGTGTTGTTCAAGCCTCACTCCAGAGGCAGTGCAGTGATGAGGGGAGCGCTGCACAGTTGGAGATGCTGTCCTCTGGAGGAGACATTAAACCAAGGTCCAGTCTACCCTCCTGGATGGATGAAAAAGATCACAGGAACTGTTTGGAGAAGAGCAATGCAAATCTTTCCAGAGTCCAGGCCACTGTTCACCTCTCGATCACCATTAGTAAAACATACAATCTGATTAATGTTACATCAAACAAAACATTACCTTTGAGCATCCGAGAAGTGTAGTATGTCTGGACTTCCAGAAGACGTTCAATAGGATGCTAAACAGAAGTTTAGTACACAAAGTAAGATCAGGTGGGGTTAGGAGTAATTTAATAGCTTGGATAGATGATTGGCTGAAGCGGAGAGTTGGGATAAATGGGCGTTTTTCTGGTTGGCAAGTGATAACTTAGTGAGGTGCCACAGGGTTCAAGCCTCAGGCCCCAACTATATCAATGATTTGGATGCAGGGATATAAAGTACTATAGCCAAATTTCTAAATGACACTAAAATAAGTGGGAAATTAAGTTGAAATGAAGAAGTGAGAAATTTACACGTGGGTATGGTTAGGTTAGATGAATGGGCCAAAATTTGGCAGATGAAGTGAATCTGTGGAAGTCACTACCCCAGAGTGCGATGGATACTGTGACATTGAGTAAATTTAAGGAGGAGAAAGACATATTAAATTAGTACTGGGTTGAAAGGTTATGGAGAGCAGACAGGAAAGTGGAGTTGAGGCCAAAATGAGGTCAGCTGTGATCATATTAAGTAGTAGAGAGGGTACAGAGGGGGCTGATTTGCCAACTCCTGCTCACAGTTCTTATATCTTCCTATTGAATCAGAGATAGTAGGAACTGCAGATGCTGGAGAATCCGAGACAACAAGGTGCAG